GGAGTTTGTCGATGTGAGATATGATATTGTCTCCATCCATACGAGTCGTGATTAGACGATGAAGTAAGTGCATCCTTCCTCCCAAGGTAGAGTCCTTGTGAGCAAGTTTCAACGCTGCCCACATCCCAGCAGTGTCTCTCTGATGAGGTTTGATGTACTTGAGATTACCGTCTTTGATGGCTCTCGAGATGATGGTGCAAGATTTGGTGTTATCATTGGCCCAGTTGACAGCACGGTCTTTAACTGCGATAGGTTGTAGAGTGTAGACAATTTTTGCAGCCTCCAACGCAAGCTCAACTTTGAATTCCCAGTCAAGGTAGTTTGAGTCGTCTCCGGGAGGTCGTAGCTGGGTGATGCCGGTGATCCGGATTTCTTTGTCATCGGTAGATGACATGATGAAGAAGGTTTGATCCGCTGCAGTTCTTCGGACCTTTCACAATCGAAGAACACAGAGGAAAGAGGAATGTATTGAATAGAGCGATGAACGAGATTTAGTAAGGTTTATACAGAAACGAGGTAGTAGTTTCAGGCGGTAGCCGGGCTCATAACCTCTTGAGTTCTGGAGCAGCACAAGAGTGAGACAGAGGAAAGGTTTGAGTATATATTTCATACAAGAACAAAGAGAGACTAAGAAAGAGAGAAAAAGAAAAACCTACCTGGAGCAGCACGAGAATGAGACAGAGGAAAGGTGAGGAAAAAGACCACCTTTCCTACTGCTGCTCCAGGAGAGTCATATAGTGAAACTTGACAAGAGAAATATCACACAACTGACAACTGACATGTTGGTAAGCACAGCACAAATCAAATGAGTTAGTCTCACAGGACTGTAGTAGACATATTGTTAATTCAATATGTCGCGCAGGACAGATGACTAGACTTTGCTTGTCACACAGGACATGAATAACGTCAACTATCTCAACATTTTTTCCAACATTTGTTCAAATTTACTACCAAATGCTTTCCCTTTTCATTCCTATTTCTTCGTCCTTGTCAGCTGATTACATGACCAACAGGAACTGAGAAAAGGAACTGAGCCTTCCTCAGGCTTCTTTGCTAAGGAACAGAGCCTGAGGAAGGGCCAATCCATCTGCTCAGCTAATCCTGAGCAGTATCCCCTGTTGAGTGGGCTCCAAGGGATGCCACTGAGGATTTGCTTAAAGGCTTAGATGAACTAAATTCATCCGCTAATCCTGTGCAGAATCCTTTGGACGGATCACGGAGGGTGATCAGCCCTGCCTCAGGCTTCTCAGCTCAGGAATAAAGCCCAAGGGCCATCTTATACTCAGTTCATCCCAGCTACTAAGCTAAACCTCAGTGGCATACTGGGGGTAAGAAGGATTCAAAGGATGTCACTGGTGCTTAACTGAGAGGCTGCTCAGTTCATCTCAGCCCCTCAGCTAATCCTCAGTGGAATTCCTTGGACCCTTCCCAACAGGGGGATGTCACTCAGGATTAGCCAAGAAGATAGGCCAGCCCTTCCTCAGGCTTCTTTGCTGAGGAATGAAGCCTGAGGAAGACCTAGTTTGTATGGTGAGTTCCTGTTGATTGTGTGAACAGCTTAATCCAGGGGACGCCACTTAGGGTTAGCTGAGCAGCTGAGATAAACTGAGCAGTTGGGCTGGCTCCTTTGTCAGGCTTCATTCCTTAGCAGGAAAGTCTGAGGAAAGGCTGGCCCATATGTGATGCAGCAAATGGATGCTACTGAGTATTGTTTGAGCAGCTGAGATGGAACAACCCCTGTGCAGGCTCCTTCACCAAGAAATAAAGCCTGTGGAAGGTATAGTTTATCTGCCCATTTTCAATTTGAAGCAATTTCTGAGTTTTCAGCGACTCATGAGCCAATCCTGAGTACTCATCTGGGGTCAAATAATGCTCATCCAAGATGGAAATGAGTCTCCTCCAGAAATGTGAAGCAAAACATGAGCAAAACAGGCTGATCACCTGAACATGACCAAAGTGTCCAACTGAAAGAATCTGAAAGAAAAAGAACCTTTTTTGGAGAATTCAGGAAATTATGTGAGCTTCCATTTTGGCCCTTGTGAGTCTTAATAGTGTTGTTGTAAAACAAAAAAAACTGCCCACCATTCCTCCCAGAAGCTTAATCAAGCAATATTATAATGTATTTATTTATATAGCCACCCCTCAGGGTTGGAGTTTTTTAGGTAGTCTATTAGTTACTTTCCTCTCAGTCAGGGTTGCAAGAAAAAATTCAGATCTCAGGATTGTATTGTGGGGAATCTATTTATTTAAATCATTTTGCAGTAGACTAAAAACTGTCAACTTGAGCCAAAACTATTCCCTGTGTATGCTGAACCTTATATAAACAGATAGTGTATAAAAACATCTGGGATTAACGCCCGCATAGCATACATGTGATTTGATTAAATGTGAAAAAGGGTTCAATTCAAACAAATTTTGAGTTTATCCATTGGGGGCACAGCCACCAAATTTGCAGTTAGGGGAGCTTATCATAGCTCTGAACATGTTTCCCATACCCAGAGAGAGGGGTCTGACAGAACCCTTCCTCAATCATTTGGTGTGACTCCCCCCTTAGGACCTCCCATCAATCCGCTAGGTCCCCACAACCACTCACCTCCCTTCCAGACTAATTGACATAGCCTAGTAGGAATGGCAAGTGGAGGGACTTGAATGGAGGACCAACACAGCGGTCCCCACCCTGTGTGAGCTTCAAGCTCAAACACACATACACCAAGAGACTCCAAGAGAGGAGTAGATGGTTTATTTATTGTGGTATATAGATGATGATTTTCATTGATGGTTTTAATTTCTTTTTATGGTAATCTTCAAACTCTTTTTGATGATTCAATACTCTGATTGTGATCAATCTTGTATCTAGAGGCTTGAAAACATACACAAACTGAAGGAATAGATTCATTGGACCACTCTGTTCAAGACAACTACCATTTCTTAAAACCTACCATGTTCTTGAATCATCTTCTGGAAGAGCAACAGCTGAAAGTAGATCTTGATTGGTCGTGAAGTCCAATTACGAGGCAAGCTTGACTGAACCTGCCTTGCTTGGAACAAACAGAAAAAACAAATGTGACTTAGAACTTGCAGCAGTGTGACTATAATGCTACATGTTGCAGCTGAATGTTTTTTGCAAACTTTGAGATGTGTTTAAGGAATGAGGGGAGCAACTTCCTCGGGAAAAAGACATGTACAATGTGTGGAAAAGAACGGCAAGCAATCTTTTTCTTTGGTCCAGAGATCCATTTCTTGAAGGAAAAGGCTGTAGAGGAGTTTTAAGGTTCTCTCCTGCAAAAAGCTTCAACCCTGAGCAATGAGTTTGTACAACTTTGGCATAAGTCTCTTGCTTGCTTCAGCCTCGTGAGGTGCGTGTGGGACTTTGATAAGTTTATGGGTTGAAGTAGAAGCTCTACTAGATGTATTGAAGGCTAACTTAACAAAGTCCCTTGAAGCTCAACACCTATCAATCAACAAGTCAAATCAGTATGTCTTCACCAGAGGGACTTACCCCCAAGGTCCGCTTTTTGGCCTGAAGGCTTAAGCTCTTCTTGGTGGAGACAATATTGTTTTCCTCCTTTCCTCAAGCACACCAAAGATTTTCAGCCAACCATCCACTCACATACACGGTGGGTCTTTACTCATATTGTACAACTGGAATCATTGAATTCCACTGACGGAATTTCCACATGTAGCTCAACTAAGTCAGGGGACTGCTCACTATAGACCCAAGGAAGTCCTTGACCTTATTCAAGCTACATGTCAAAACTACACAAATGTAACTTGATGTAGCTCAGTGAGGAAGCAACATATAAGGATGCTTTTGATTGTACAATGTGTAGGCACAGCAAGCGCATACATGGCTGAGCAGTTGGCAGAAATCCTTGGTATGCTTGCCAAAAGGAGGAAAAGAAGATCCTCTCAACCAAGGATTTTGGCCGTTGGCAACTTTTTGTGGCCCATAGGCAGACTGCAGCTATCTGACAGCCGGAGCCAGGCTGACTGGAAATGACCCTTTGAGGGCGGTCAACATGAGGTCCACCTGAAGACAGTTTTTCAGTGCAGAGTCATTGGCCATCTTTTGACTGCCTGTACGGCTGGTCAAAAGTTGGTCCAAACCTTCTGGTGGTGTAGGTCCTTCATGATCCAGAGATGTGGTGGTCCAAACGTTGCATCAGATTCCAGCCCGCCTCATGACCTCGGCAGACACTAAAGGGCACCCGGGTTGGTCCTGGTAGTTGGAACTTGTTTTAACTTACAGGAATCGGGGCCAGGCAAAGTGGCTTTTGAAGATGATCTGAGTTTGTTGAAAGCGCGGCCAAAAAATACCAGAGAAGATCTTACTAACTCACGGTTTTTAGCACAGCAGTAGTTACTTGTAGCTCTTTACCTTGTTATACAAAAACCTGTCTTTGTTGTAATCTTCTTTCTCTTTGCTCACATTTGTTATCTTATTTTGTTCTCCAACTTTTTTCACAGGGTTTTAGCTATCTGTTTCTCTACTCTATCCTCTCTGTTTCTCTACTCTATCCTCCTACAAAGTTAAACTTAAGATACAAATTTTTGGTACCCACCATCCCTCCCATTTTTCCATGGGGTATTATTTTATCTTAGTTGTAGTAGCCGCCCCATTGGGCTTCCGGTTGTTGCAGTTTCGAGTCAGACCCTCCAGGGCCGTCATGTGTTAATCTTAGTGATTGTGGACAAAACTCTCAGAGTCTTACAAAAGCTCCAACATGCCTTAGACTATTCCTGGTTGATCATTAATGCTCTAAACCTGTTCTCTGGGTGAACTAACCTGCTTGTGAGAGGGGTGCACCGTGCGAGTGCCACGAGATACGGACGTCTTGCCATTGACTGTTCTTTCGCTGTAGAGCACACTCCAATTGCTGCATTTTTACTCACGGATACGACTGACAAAGCAATGCCGATTATGGGGCCAGACTATACAAAATGTTTCGTCATACCAACTTCGTGGCGTGCGATGTAAACCTGAAGGCCGGAGCAGGACTGTGTTTGAATGCTTCCTCAAATGCTGATTTATTTGCAATCTATGGCCATGCAAGTAGATCGACGGTATACATGTTTAGTTTGATAGTTTGGTGAATAGATGCAACAAGATATCAGATAGCAACAAGTTACAATATAATTCATAAAATCGATCAGGAAGTAATTTTTTGGAGCTTCCATTAGATGAGGACTCCAAAGCCCGGGACGACATGAAGAAAAAAGGATTTCCAGTACCACCCTAGTATCCACTCAGATCAAGCTGGTATACAAATAAGTAAAGTAATCATACGGATAAAACTTTTCTAGGTAAAAGCAAAAGGCGTCGTTCGGACAAGTGTTGGAAAGTACGGAGAAAACGAGTGTCCAAAAGTTGTACATGGGTTACAGGTGACGATGGGGATCAAAACAGATAGAGTTCAAGCCTTGATGTCAAGGAAACGAGCACTGGTGGCAGAGCTGGTTAAAGCAGCACAGGTAGGGGCTGTACGAGCAGTAGAACTGGCGTGAAAGACGCCGCCGGTAGACGGTTCTGATGTAGTACTTTGTTCGACGCTGATTTCGCCTCGTCCATGGGCCGCTCGGGCCTTGGGGCAATATTTTCCAGGTGAACTCGCTTGGAGAGCCAGGAGCGTATCGCGGGTGTAATGAATGTGTAGTCGAGAGCGTCCCTCAGAAGACGTAGTCGAAAGCGGTCCAGAGCTGCGTAAGAATTACAATGATAAGAGTAAGTTAGCATTCAAACCGAGAGGGTACGCAGCCTGTTAAGAAATTAAAGCACCTTGAACAGGTGGACCGGCTATCGTCTGAGCAGACGGATGAGTGAAGAGATTGAGTCTGCATTGAAGTATTGGATTAATGGAGACGATCAGTCAAAATGAATCTTAAACACGAAGCAAAAAGACATGTACCATTTCTTTGGGTAGAGAATGAGGGGATTGCGCGTCTTGGTGGCGTGATGTGGAATCGTCCTGTTGGTGAGAGCCCGTATTATATAGGCCCACCCTATGTCAGGGTTTGAGAACAATGGGAATGAAAAGGCACTAAAGCAGATGACCCTCGGGCGTAAGCTGGACCACAGGCCTGATAGATACGCTATGGTATGAAAATTTGTTGATCGCACGATCACTTTGAAGAAGAGCTGGGTGCCGTGCACGAGTAAAAAACAGTTAGGTCCAAATGGATACGTGAACTGCTTGTGCAAAAAGTACGACGAGGTGAAGGTCGGCAGTCCCTCGCAAGATTGATGATGTCGAGCAAATTGAAATTGTGTGAGCCCCCGCAGATCAATGATGGATGGGCCCAGTTGGACCACTAGAGAATTTTTATAACCCCAAGTTGCTTGAAGGGACCGCCCAGATCCCAGAGAATGTACTTCGCCCAGACAGCTTGTGAAATTCGTTGTAGTACATACATATAGGAACTATCGCAACCACCGCTGGGTGAAACATGTGACGGAAGCATGCGATGCTGTTCAGTCATCACATTGCGTCATTCGCCAAGTGCTCAACCACAACCATGGTCCAACATTCAAGTCTTCGAAACGAGGCTGATGTTCTGGGCTTTGCAAGATCCAGACCATCAGAAACCCCCCCGGGAGACCGAAGCTCTATCACATTATGCGGGAATAGCGCAGTTGTATCGGCGACCGGAGCTCCATAAGAGTGCACCGCCACTTTATGCTCCCCAGGTTTGTCTGAACTCGACACTGATCGTTCGTTATCATGGTACTCGTAACTAACCGGGGGGAAATATACCTCCCCTGCGGTCGGACCAAGCTAGATTTGGGGCAAGCTGTGCGCATTGATGACCGGAGTCATAACCCAGGTACGAGTCATCTATATTTTTGCTCTGCGTCCACTTTGCAACAGGGTCCTTGTCCTAGGTGCGATGATCGAGTCACAGCAGCAGGCAGTTTTGGTTCGCAGGGACCTATGTGACGAGCTTGTCACTGCGCCAGCCATGAGACACTGTGGGTCAGACATTTATCGTGACTGGAAGAACTCTTCTTTCAGCATGGGGGTCCGGTCGTCGATAGCATCATGATTTGTCTATTTTTTTGCTTTGATTAGATGTCGAAAGCATGACCGGAACATAGCGCATGTGCACGCAGCCTCGGTTGGATTCTACTTTCCTCCTCTGGAATCAAATTGCCCAATTAGTGTCCACTCAAGACAAGAAGAAATGGAAGGGCATGGTCTGCTAAAATGCCCGCACTTTGATCAGCCAGCTCAGTGAATTACTCCCTATCATTCCTTGGAGTAAGAATTAGATACATACTTTCGCTTGCGCCTGTGAGAAGAGATCCAATTTTTACCGATTTCATCACAAGATGGGTGCATTTGTGAGCTCACTCTGCCACCACAAACAAATATTGGACTTGACATGAATTCCTTATGACATATCTGATGTCATACGCACTTTCTGCAGACTCCACACGAGGTATGCTGTTCCAGTATGAAGTACTAGTACTACGCTTCACCTTTGTAGCATTCGACAATTTGAGCCTTCCAAAGAGGTCCATGGAACTGAGCCACTTGAAAGCGGCTTTTGACACATGCACATTCTCTCCGAGTCGCTAGCCTACAGTAAAATGAATTTCTAATATATAGCTAGGCCCTGACCAAATCAGAACTGCTTCGAGAAGGAGTCTTACATATACCGAGGGCCGCCAATTGTTTCGGATCTGAAGATTTCCTCAGACTCTCTAATCGATCAGCGTTCGATATATTCATTTAGCGTTCTGCAATCACTGATCATGGCGCTATGGATCATGTGTTTTTCAGGGTTTTTAGCAGCTAGGGTCTCGAGCTCACAAACTCTTCCAAGAAACCTTCTCCTATCAGCGTTCTCTTTCGCTCTGATGAAAATTTGTCGCAGTGGTTAATGACTGGTTGAATTGGATTTACAACACCTTGAAAGACAGGATGATCAAGATACCGAAAGCTATTTTTCTAAAAGGATCAAACCTCTCGGTTGCAGAACAAGCCCTTTTCTAGTAATGCCGAGGTGCGCTCATCTTAGACTTCAGGCCTTCTCGCCAATGTCTATATCGCTGCTTCTTTTTTTCTTTGCGCAAGACAAACTTCCTGGCATTACTGTTCATATCGCACTTCTCTTGGTCATAGATAGCACATCAATCATTTTTCCTCAACATTGTAGCTCGTCGCCATCTGTCTTCATTGCCTATCAAGCTCACTTCAGTGATTACTCACATAAGGGTCTCCAATGCGCACAACTGCAACACCACACACAAGACGCCGATCGGAGTTCAAGTTGTAAGTGCCACCGCCTTCAGCTTACTCTTCAGGACACTCATGAAGAATGTAAGATAATCTGATCTCGCCTCTATCTGCCCATTCATTCAGTTCAAACCTCACCATGCGGATCGCGAAGGTGACAAAAATCATGAAACCATGACAGGAAAGGCAGAAGAAGGCCAGATAAAAGGTCATCCGATTCCTGGGAGTGTTTCATCAAAAAGCCTCAGCCAACCGGCATTTAAAGAGGTATACCCGGATAGCAGACGTGTGAAAAGATACGAAAATACCCGACCTGTACGTCTGTCGAGACATGTGTTACGGCTCGGCCTGGCTGGGCATCGGAGATGACCAGGCGCCAAGCCTATCCTCACCTTCTTTCGGTTTGGACCAGATGGAATGTGTAGGAAGTTTGGGATTAGAACGGTTTCACTTCATTCCTGATACGTCACAGTTGTAACGCCTTGATCAAACTTGTTTCACACATAACGTATGTTTCAATCACTAGTTGTTTAGCTTTTACTCTTGTCACATTTCTCTCATGTTTCGGTAGATCAATACCAAAGCTAGTTGTTGCCCGCGATTCCCCTCTACAACATGAAGCGCGTACAAAGAGATGGTGGTTCATGTTTGTTTACCTTTTCTGGACGATGTCGGCACTGGAGGCTTTCACGATCGGTGGCGGAAAAGGGGTGCGTGTCAAGTTTTTGGGAGGATTGCGAGCACCCAGTACATAGCTGATGAAATTCACACCACTAGGTTTGTAGAAATTACACAAAAAATGATATGGGTGAACACGTCTCTGCTCTCAGACAATGCGTATGATTTATCAGTGAAGTAATCTTCTCTTCTTCTTAGGTGTTTGCCTATGGTCGGGTCCAGACATTTTAGCCGGCTTAAATGCCAGAACAGCGGGCTGGTTGAACAAGTAAGTTAACTTCATCAAGATTTCACTCTGGCCTGGCTGACCAAAAGACAAATATGTACGGGGAATTCTGACTTTGTACAGGTTTTTTCTAAGGTCACGTGACCCGAAATTTGCCTCGTCCACTTCATTATCCTAAGTTTTTCATCATCATCAAGCACCTTCTTTCACTCATCACCACGCGCTCGATGGCTCCGGACGCGTCCGACGCGAGTCAAATGAACGAGGACGACCCCAGCTCCAATTCGACCTCAGGATGGACGAACCCGACCACGTCTAGTCACAATGATGACGCGGTGGCCGCGTTCCTCAAAGGCTCGGATCAGGGTCTTCCCCAAATCGAGATCACCTCCGACATCCTTGGATCGACTCCAAAAAGATCAGAGGTCCCCCTCCTGACCGAGTTCGCAAGGAAACGAGCTCGAGCAAGCACCCCCGGAATCTCGGCTCAGGATCACATCCAGTCAATAACTGGAACCCCTCGAACCGAGAGGATGGCTCGGCTCGTACCAGGCTGTGAGGAGGATTGTTCCCTCACAGTCCTGTTGGCTAAGCTGGTAACAGTTGCCAATCATACCATGCAGCTACCTGCTAAAGGCAGGTTAGCCAAACAGGTACACATCGACGTCGATTCGTGCGCCGATATCTTGGTTTTGATCAATGCCGCCTTTGATCAACATCAATTCGAACAAACGAAGAGAAACCTCTTCCAGAGACCGGCGTCTGCCCTTGCAGGCTCCAACAGAGCGGCGGCGCCGATGCTGAACCCCCCATCGATGAGTCCTAACCAGACCTTCGATTTCCAAGCTAGCTCGCTCACCAAGAAGCTTGAAGTGCTTTCAGAGCAAGTCTCTTTATTGACTTCCCACATCATACCTGCAAAGTCAACTCAGAAGCAGGCCAACTCAGCAAATGCTGGCTCATACGCAGCTGCTGCATCCAAGAACACCGTAACAACCAGTCAGGTCCCAAAACGGGCCACAAAGAAGCACCCAAGGCACGAAAACGCCTCACCAACACGGTGACACTCACCCAAACTGACAAGAATCAAGTTGCCCTAGGTTCTTTGTCAACCACACAGCTCATTCAAGGCTTCAACGCTGCATTTAAAGCCAGCAACATTAAGATTGACGACTCGTCTGAAACCTTCATCACGGTTAAGACGGTCCAACGACATCCGTCTAATGACCTAGTACTGCACCTCGAAAACGCGCTTAACGCTGAGAAGGTCAGGGCCACCAAAAAAGTGTGGCTACCGTCTGTTTCAAAAGACCTACAAATGAAGCAAGAACACTTCACTGTACTTGTACACGCTATCCCAACAACGTTCGATCCGGACATTGTTAGCCATAAGGAGGAACTTGTAGCCTCGAACCCTACTTTGCTCCAAGGTGCAGCTTTTGTACGTTGGCTTAACCCAAAACTGAAAGATGACCCAACAAAGAGATATTCTACCATCCTTATTGGCCTTGAGACACAAGCGCAAGCTGAGAAATGTGTAAAGGAAAAAATTTGGTTCGGTCGAGGTCTTCATAAAACCGAGGCTGGCAGAGAACCACCGAAAAGGTGTTACAACTGCAGAAAAACAGGACACACCGCTCCGTCGTGCCCCTCACCAGCTATGTGCCCTTATTGTGGAGAATCACACCACGCCCACGCGTGCCCAAAAAAAGGAACAACACCTATGAAGTGTACCGCATGTGTGAGATCGCTTATCAAGCTAGATCCAACTAAAACAACCAAGCGCCTGTTTGAATCTAATAATCAGGACCTTAATCACTCACCTTTCCATCCCCAATGTGCAACACGCATTGCAGATGGGCTCCCTCCTTTTAACCCAAGCTCATCACCCAAGATTGTAATCATCGCCCAAGAAGCCGATGAATCTAACTTATAATGTTAGAAAATCTTAGGAAAAAACTTAACTTACCGGACACCACGTCAATTCTCCAATTGAATTGTCGCCATTCATCAGACACAGCTAACTCCCTTTTTAATTTGGAGTTTACTAATTTATTTTCTATTCTATCACTACAAGAACCCGCAGTCAACAATGTTGACTACCTACCTCAGGAGCACAAGGACTGGGCACTAATCAGCCCAACACCCACAGCACGAAATTCAGGAGCTCGACCCAGAGCGTGCCTCTATATCAGGAAAAACCTCAATGCTCAAATCAACCCACTCACATCTGTTTCTAGCCTCTTGCACGAGGCACGACATGCAAGACATGTCCATGAAGTGAGTAACGTCGTGTGTAATAAAAACCCGAAAGGGAAACTGAGATTGGAAATTTCCCAATTAAGACTTAATGAATTTCCAGAAAAAAGAGAGACATCGTAATGCCAGAAGGCAAAGGATACTAATCCAAGAATTAGTTGTCTCCTTTCTTTTCGGAAGAAGTCTCCATCTATCTTAGTTTCCTTATTCCTCACTTCATAACAAACGTCCTCTGAATTATAGCATATATATTCACAACTAATATTCGCTAATAAAACTTTTGTCCTCCCACCCACCCCAACAGTAAATCAAGATCTAGCATATCGACAACCAACAAAACGGAAATGGTAAGAGAGGGAGGGAACGAGTAAGTAAACCCATAAGGGAGAACTCTAAAAAAGAGACTTCCCTCTCTTACCGTATCCTCTAACAGGGCATCACGCGGAGAAGTCCTCATAAAGAGAACTCTACGCGACAGATGCCCCACCTCCCATACCAGACCTTCCCTCACCTAGTAATAAACTAGGCAAGGGAAGGCGTTTTCTTCTTGTGTAATATATGATGAAGTTATAATTCGTAATGGACAGAGACATTGCCGCTTGTACACTCACTTTAGCATCCGGCTTCACGCTGCTTGCTATAAGCGTGTACAACGATCCAGCAATCTTCTCGGGATTTACAGCCTACGAGTCCCTCATGAACAACCTCCCGTCAGACATCCAACACCTACCGACCATACTCAACACCAACAGCAATCTACACTCGTCCTTATGGAATCCACCCCACATAGACACTCAAGACCGTGACGCCAAAAGGCTCGTGGATGTCATGGCAGGGAGAGATATGCACCTCAGATCTCCACGAGGAATCCCTACTTTTGGGGTAGGATCCCGAACAACTCTAGGTACATCAATAGACCAAACCTGGGTGAATGACCCCCTGGACGCCGTGATACAACAATGTATCATCGATGAAGACAGCCTATCCAGCCACTTTTCCGACCATCAAGCAATCATCACGACCTTAACCACAAAACACGACTCACCAAACGTTCCAGTAGGAGGTGCTAGAACTCGGAAGAATTGGAGGAAGGTTGAGAAGATTGCACTCAAGACCGAAGTCCAACAAAACCTACCAAAAATCGAACCTCTCACAACACGAGAACAGATTGAACGATTCGACCGACATATTATCGAAACAATCATTACAGCATTAGACAATAACTCACCGTGGAAACCTCCACTCGACAAACACAAGAAGTGGTGGAACCCGATCACACTAGAACCCCTGCGTAAAGAAGCTCTACTAACAGAAAGGAAAATGAAAAAGACCAGAAGTGACGAGGATCGGATGGCATACAAGAAGGCCAGGAACCAATTCAAACACGCAGTTGATAAAGCTAAGATAAACAGCTGGCGTGAATACTTGTCCACACTAACACATGAAACACTTTTCCAGGCAAAAAAATTCGCCTCTGGAGGAAAAGACTCTTTGGTGATTAACACGTTGATTACAACTTCGGGAATCACATGTACGTCTAATCCAGAAAAAGCTGAAGCACTGTTCTACGCCACGTGCGTAGCAACAGCACCGTGTGATCTACATGACACCACACCCATCCCTTTCCCGCTCACAGAGGAAACGAAAACCACCAGCTCAACTATGCCAAGTATCCTCACAGCCCTCACTAAGGACTCCCTCAAGACAATTGTCAATGAGAGCCCACCATACCAAGCACCAGGAAACGATGGTATCCAGAATTGGATCTGGCAAACTCTGTGGCCTATAGTAAGTAGACATATACTAGCCTTATTCCAATGTGTAACAGTTACAGGCATTTTCCCAACCAGGTGGAAAGAAGCAAAGACGGTGATGATTCCCAAACCTGGGAAATCCGACTACACAGCTCCTTCAGCTTTTCGCCCAATCGCCCTACTTAACACCATCAGCAAGATATACAAAAAACTCGTCACTATTCACCTCTCGCAGCAAGTAGAAAAACTTCAACTCCTGAACAACGGCCACTACGGCGGACGTCCAAACCGATCTA